CAGTGCATGCCACACTCAGCCTGTCGTGGTAGCACTGGCACCCTTGCCATCCAGCATCTTAGGGTGTCCCTGGCCCACCTCTGTTCTGGGTCATTCCTACCCTGTAGGTATGCGGTTCTCTCCTAAGCAGCAGTCCCATTAAAAAAAGAAAGCAGTGCCCTTCAAAGTGGCCTGTCGAGGGCGTTTCCACTGTGCTAGTCTCCTGAACCCAGCCCCTTCTCTAGGTTCCATGTCAACAAGCTTGTCACCTGCCTCCATGAGGACTTACTCCCTCCTTCCTGCCCGGAAGCTGGCCCAGCCCGTCAGGTGGCTAGTTCAGCCTTCTCTGATGGGCTGCCCTGCCTTCAAACCTCAATTTCCCCATCTGCAATAAAGACCCTTCAAACAGGGTGGCATGCCACGCCAGTGGCTCTCGCTGTGCTGCTAATCTGAAGCACCACATGGGGGAGTAGCTACTGACTTTGAGCAAACAATAGAGGAGATAGGAGGACCCCAAAATATCCCCTCAGAAGAACATTTATCCAAGGACCCATCCATTCCTTGGGCATCTGAGCCTCAACAGGTGCCACCACAGAGGAAGCCATGTGGCAAGCTTGGCCCCAGGGCCATGGGCACAGGGGCCACAGGCTGCAGCTTTGCTTCCACCAGGATGAACTGTCCCACCCCAGGGTCCCAGGACCAGCATGTCAGGGATGATGGCCACACACCTGCAAAGCAAAACACCCTGGTGGCTGTCAGGGCTGGATCTAAGACTCAGTGCCCAGCAAAAGGGCACTCCTCTTTTCTCCCAGCATTTCCTATGGGTATGGCAATGACTCGAGTAAGGGCCAAAAGCCCTGGCGGTGGCCCAGAAGGGCTGTGGGACTGAGCAAGGCATCCCTGGACAACTTCGCCTCCTCCTGTCGTGCTGAAATCCTCAGAGGATTGTTGGGGTGACATCTAGAAAGGCTGAGCAAGGACAAGAGCAACCTGTCCAGGGCTCTGAGGGGGACCCGGGCTGCACAGTCAGCAGAGCTCCATTTGTTCAGTGAGAATGGCAGCTGGGGTGGCAGCTGGGGCAGCCCGAGGCAGTTGAGCCTGAGGCTGCTGCCCATTGCCCCTGACACCCAGCACCATCAGCAGAGTCCCAGCTGACCACCAAGGACCAGAGCATGCACCTGATTCATGGTGGAGCTGGGAAGACCCGTGAGGGGGGCTCTGTCAAGGACATGGACATGGCAAACGCTGGAAGACGGCCAACACCGCAGCAGCTTTGGGGTGAAAAATGGTTGGGAGGAGCCTTGGATCAACTAGAAAATCAAAAGGGAGGCCAAGAAAAGGACTAGCATGTGGCTCTGACAGCACATCAGAGGTGGCCAAAGGCTGGGTGGGGACAAGAGACAGCAATGGGCAGGAAGGGTCTTTCAAAGGTGATAAAGGGGGCTGGGGATGTGGCTCAAGCGGTAGCGCACTCGCCCGGCATGCGTGCGGCCCGGGTTCGATCCTCAGCACCACATACAAAGATGTTATGTCCGCAGATAACTAAAAAAAAATAAATAAATATTAAAAAAAAAAAGGTGATAAAGGTGTTTCTATATTCTGGTGATGGCTGCAAATCCTATGAATTTGTTAAAAATAACTAAAATTGTGTTTTTAAAAAATTCAAGGATGCCTATGACAAAAGTCAAGAGAAACAAAAAGACAATTATTGTTATTATACAAAATGATACAAAATGCAATTGGCCCCCAGCCCATGGTAGCCACTCCCAAGCTTTCTATCCCCATGATGTGCCTCTCCTGGGTTTCCGTGGAATTCTAATACAACACCTGGTTTTGTGTCTAGCTTCTCCGTGAGCACACAGCTCAAGGGTTGTGAATGTCATTCCTTTATGTGTGGATGGACTACACGGTTGACCCACTCCCTGGATGGGGCATGTGGTTGCACACTCTGTTTGGCTGTGGGAAAGGTACTGCTGCGGACACTCATGTGCAAGACCTTGGGTGGGAGGAGGGCCTTCCTGGAACCGCATGTGAAGATGGGACAGGTCAGGAACCAGTCTGTTCTTACAGAGTACCTGGAACATGGAAAGGAGCAAAAGAGGGGACGAAGTGTGCCTTGCCGGCTGAGTGTCCACCCAGATGACATAGGGTCGGTGCTCCTCGGGGTGCCAGGGAAGGAAGCCACACGCTCRCTTACTGCCCTTCTGCTTATTTCCTGTATGCAGTGTCCTTGTCCTTTTACCCCCTCAAAGGGTGTTCCCAAAGAACAATYTTTGCTTACCCTGATCCTTCACTTAGCTTCGAGGGCTCCTGTGTGGTGGGCCCTAAGAGTAAAGGGCCACAAACACACGGTCCAGGGGCCCTGTCATCCTGAATTCCTAACTCCCGGTCAGAGCAACTGTTCAAGCCAGCGCCCCCACTGCTAACAGCCCCAGGCATGAACACAGGTGCCAGGCCACACCCAGTTTATTCAGCCCAATTACACACCATGGGCCAGGTGAGGACAGTGCACTGGGCCAGTGGTGTTCAGTCTTCCAGGAGCTCAGAGCCCTCCCACAGGCCAAGTGTCCCCGAGGAAAAGCCCATGTGTTCTGCCAGGCCTCGGTGAGGCCCCAGGGCCTAAGCTCCTGGAACTGGGAGACAGGATGTCCTTTCTAGGGAAGCCCACACTTCACAGAAGTCTGTGGACAACAAACACTGGGGCAAAGCTGGCTGTGCCTCTACAGGGGTGGCCACTACCTGGGGCGGGGCCTGTCCCCACAGGGCTCCTGCCCGGGCCTGTTCATTGGTCCCTGGCAGTGGTGACACCAAGCACTGCCCATGACAGGCCAAAGGATGGGTTCCTGGAGGGGATGACAGCATAGATTTCATCCCTTCAGCCAGGGACAGGGTATGACATCCAGAGGACAAGAAGCAGGCTTCAGGACAGGAGTTTGCTCCCTTCTTTACAGAGGGGAAACCAAGGCCAGGAAGGTGTGGGGGCTGGTTTACCAAAGGGCATTGGCAAGCGGGTGACCAGGCCAGACCCCAGGGCTCCCCACCCCACTTCCATGCCCTGCTCAGCCCACTGTGGGGAAGCCCAGGCACCAGCAGGGTAAGGAGACCCACGGGAGGAATGACTGGCCCCTGACTCCCAGCACTTGCTGTTTCTAGAGACCCCAGCCACCCTCATTTAGGGATCCTCACAGCAGTCCCACATTCCTGAGAGCCCTTCATGATGGGTGGGGCAGAGGCCCATTCCCCAAGGATCACTTACTCAGGGGCCGGAACACAGGCTAGGAGTCAGGGACCATTCTGCAGGCTGGGGTAGAATGTGGGTTTGTGGAACTATTGAAAGCCACCAAGAAAGCTAGAGCAGTGGCCACACAAACAGACGTAGGGTCACATGCGAAACACCAGTCGTCACTCTCAGCTGAAACTGGGTGCTCAGTGGCTCTTGGTGGGTCTGCACCCCCCCTGTGCTTGGGGCCAGGTACCTACCAGAGGCTGACATGCACTGTGACCCATTGGACAAGCTGCCTTCACCTCAGGGCTAACACACGGCAGGTGGGCAGTAGGTGCCAGAGGGCCTGGCGAGAGCCCTGAAGGGCAGACAACCCCTGCAGCGACAGCAGGAGAACCACTGCAGAGGTCCCCCTCACAACATTCCAAACACTAGAGCTCCATAGCAACACATCTGCGTTCCTGGAAAAGACCCTTTGGTCCCTGGGGCAGCCAGTACTCATCACCCTCAGGACTGATAGCCAGGGACTACTCTGGCCACGGAGCGGCCTGGACCAAGGGTCCAGACAGGTTTCCTGTCAAATTCAGGAGGCTGAGGGAAGTGAGGGGCAGTGCCACAGTGAGCACACCAGGAGAGCTCGGGGCTCTGGGGCAGCACTGCCCTCTTGCAGATCCTGCAGGTTTCCTATGGATGTGGCCAGTGACCCCCAACAAGCTGGGTGCAGCCTAAATAGTMCCTGAGGGTCCCCTAAAATGGAACAACCTTCAAAGAGAGGTAGGAGCTGGGTGCGGTAATCCCAGTGGCTTGGGAGGCTGAGCAGGAGGGCCACAAGTTCAGAGTCAGCCTCAGCAATTTAGTGAGGCCCCCAGYAACTTGGTGAGACCTGTCTAAATAAAATACAAAAGGGGTGGGGCTGAGGATGTGGCTCTGCGGTTAAGTGCCCCAGGTTCAATCTCTGATACAAAAACAAAAGGGGGGAGGGGCAGGAGCACCAAGGGGGAAGGACAGGAAGACTATGTGTACCTTAAATTCCCAACAGGGCGGCCTGAGGAAAAGCCAGAGGAGGAAGCTGGCTCTCCAAAGCAAGCCCAAGCTCTTCACCTCTGTGTGATCAGGCCTCTCTCCCTTCAGATGTGGGGCCTCTGCCCAGGATTCCTCTCTGCCAGCTCCGCAGCCTCCTCAGCAAGGCCAGGCGGAGAGGGCGCTGGGGAACACCCCGTGAAGTGCTTTCTGGCGCATGTCCTGGCACAGCCCACTTCCATGCGGCCCCTGAGTGAAGTTTTGGGTGCCAGTGGCCCCCCAACTCTGCAGTTAGGTCTTGGGTCACCTGGCATCCAGAATGAAGCATCCACTGTCCTAGGTCACCCGGCTGTCAGTAGAGATGGCGGAGACCCCGATCTGGGTGGGGCTGAGGCTGGCCTGCAACGTGGGCCAAGGGAAGCTCTGCTGGCTCCGGGCTCTGAGCACTTTCTCCATCTGGGTGGGGTTTTAGCTCCTATTTAAAGTTATGAACGTTGCTACTCTTTGAGAGGGAGTGTCCCCGAGGGGCCAGCGTGTCTAGAGGAAGGCCCTGGAAGCTCTGAACGGCACAGTGCAACGTCACTTCTCCTGTCTCCACACTGAGCTGCGTCTGACATAGGTTGGTTTGAATTTTTTCTGGGTCACACGGCCAAACCATACGCTGCTTAAAATACAGTGTGTGTGGTTTTGGTGACTCGCAGCCAATTCCTCTTTTCCTAAGAAGCTGTGGGTTTCTGTGCCTGACTGTTCTCAGTGAGCACAGAGCAACTGAAGGGAAAGCAAGACAGAGGGAGCCTTGCTCCTGAGGAGCTCCGATTCACGTCCCYGAGGGGTGCCAGGAGCCTCGGCCAGGTGAGCACTCTGTTCATTTCTCTGGGAAGCACAACGCCGCCCACCGGCCCCCGCCTCTGACTTACCCGGAAGGTCATCGAGGCTGGCTGGGGGCCAGAGCCAGTTCACAGCGATGGGAAGTTTCTTTCTAAAAACAGAAGTGTCTTTATGCTACAGGTTGATTCCGTTAAAAAAAAAAAAGAGAGAGAACACGACCATTTTCCTAGCCTTTGGCACTAGGAATGACTGAGCAGGCTGCCCACTTCTTTATTAAGAAAAAGGCAAGAGTGACTCTAGTCGCCTCCTGAAAACGGAGGTGGGGAAAGGTTCACGGAGGGTCAGAAAGGGTCGATGAAGCTGCCAGATAATTACTACTGCTGGGTTTTCACTGGGAAGGGGCTAAACTGACGAAATTCAAAGTTGACAGGAGGCACATCTGGATCAAGTTTTCGTGGCACATGAAATCTGAAAATGGAGCATTCTTTTGGCTGTGGCATGGTGGGGGCGGGAGCCCAGCCGTCCATTTTTCCACCCAGAGGCAGGTGGCAGACAGAGCTTGGGAGGGAACCCTGGGGGAGCCAGGAGGCAGGGTTTGCAGCCCCGCGGCGGGCTTGGTGCTCAGACAGGGGTTCAAATGTGAGGCTCCTGCACACGTGCCTGCCCCCAGGGCTCAGTGCAGGTTCATCTCACTTCATAAGAGCTCCACAAGGGTGCTCTGGTGACACTTCATAATGCATTCCTGGGCTTGTCAACTGGCTGGGACCATGGCCGTGGCATTCAAACCCACTGGTCACCCCTGAGGCAACAAGCAATGGCACTGCTGGCTTTCTGGGACCCTGGCAGCGTCTGCTCTTTGAAAGGTAGCTGATGGGAAGGAGAGCCTCGGGCACTTCCGGGTAGGGTGCTGGGCTGGAGGGTGCTGGGCTGAGTGCACACTCATGCAGCTGCCCCTCCCAGGTCCCTCTGCTGGAGCTTACCTACAGGCTCTGGCTGGCCAGGTGCCTCCAGGTGCTCCCATCCCTGGCTCAGRCAGGCTCCACTGAGGCCTGCTGAGTGAACGGCCGGTCAGAGGAAGCCGGCAGATCTGCGGCGGAAGACCGGAGCAGCAGAGGGCAGGCTGCTGGGAGGGGTCCACAAATGGCCCTGTGAAAGCACTCAGGACACAGGAACTCGCATAAAGGGAGGGCTGCCCAGGCTCTTGAACACCCTCATGCCCTGCAATCCAGGCCAGGCTTCTGGGATGCCCTCCCTTGGAGTTCCTGTTAGGGCATGAGGACCTGCAGACGCCATGCTGTGCAGCAATTGAAGGAAAGGATCAGGGCAGCCGGGTCCTCAGGGCTGGATCAAGGTGCTCTGCTCAGCAGCGGGGCAGGATCCCACAAAGCCAACATGGGCCAGGGTCACAGAGGCCACCAGGAAGCCAACGACAGGCCATAATACCAAACACCTTCTCTCTGGCTAAAAGAGTGGCCCTCCTTCTTCACCAGTTACAGCCCTGCCCGCACTCCAGCCTGCCACCACACAGGCTGACTCCTACCCAAACCCCGAGCCCCGCATAGGTTCTAACACTCTAAGCGGGCAGCTTAAGCTGTCTGACCTCAGGGTTCCTGGTGGCCTTGCCACACACATCCACGATGACAGAAATGACATCAGCTCCAGCTTGCAGGGTCTGAGTAAATAGGAGCCCGGGAGCTCACATGCCTGCCCCCAGCCCACTTTTGGGGAGGAGTCGCGGCACACAGCATGCAGCACAGATGGGGCCCACGGGTCTTCAAAGGGGCACAAGTGTTGCCTYTAGACCCAATTCTCCACCCTTTCCTGCTTGCTCATCTGTCTAATCTGTACCCCGGATGGTCAGGGTATAGGAATGCTTCTCGTGGAGGAAGGGTGTTTGGAAAAATAGGACTTGAATAAAGCAAAGAGCTCCCTGTAGCTTCATTCTTGAACATCCCCCTGCCRAGGAGGGATGTGTGCTAGGATTTCTTGAAGGAGGGGACTCAGGTGTCCAATAATGTGGTCTGTCCATGGTAATGCTGGGCCACACCCTGCAGGAGCACTGTGTGCCCTCAGGTCCTCTGTCCAGGAGACGGATAGATCAGCCAGGGCGCTGCTGACAGTCTGGATGCTCCATGGCACACAGGACCAGTTCCAAATCTCCTAGAAGCGTGTGAGCACCATGTGTAGGAGTCTGCATGTTGGTGTATGCTGTGTGTTTCGTGTGTGTGCATGTGTCTATGTGTGAGACACAGAAGGCACATATGTTTTCTTTGGAAGAGTCAAGAAAAGGAAAATGGAAATCTTTTATCCCTATCCTTCAATGAGGTCATTTTTCCCAATACCTAAAATAGAGGCTCAAATAATTCCTGGAACTGCACAGCCACAGGACCATGAGRGTGGAGGAGGCAGGACAGAGGGAAGCCATCCGAGTTTCCTTCACCACTTGTCCAGACCTGGGGGCTGGGGATTAAGAACTGGCAGCCTTCAGCTGACCCCCCACAGGCCCCCAGATATTAGTTCAAGACCCTCTCTGAGACTGCACCTCTATTCAAAGCCAGCCAGAGGCTGGTTGTGCAGGACTTCAGGCCATGTATGCAAMAGACACAGTGAGTCATCAGGGGTCAGTTCCAGGCTGGAGGACCAGAGACTGGAATGTTTGGACCAGAAGGCGCTAATATAGCCAAGCCCTGTGGAGGGAGGAGGTGCCGCAGGAGCAGGCTCGTGGGGCCCGCAGAGCGCAGGAGCAGAGTTTCACAAGAGGGGCCTCTCTGCAAAGGCAGTTCAAGCTTTTTCTGTGCTCTATCTCGGAACCTGGYCCCTGACCCACCTTCCACCATTCCAATAACAGAGACACACTTTCACAGGCCCTCAGTATCCTCAGCTGGTAGGAGGAAAAACAAGAAAACTACAATTCCCAAAAGATTCAAATCTGAGACCAATGGGACCATAGAGACAGACCTCATATGGCCCTGTACCCCGGCCAGGCAACACCAAGGCCATTTCATTGTGTGCTGCCTGTATACAGGGCCCACGAACCACACAGGAGACTACTGACCTCACTAGCTAATCCTGTTTTTGCACAGAAAAAAAAAAAACCTGTGAGCCTTTCCCAGCAATTTGTAAAAGCAAGTACAGGCTGGAATGGATCTGTAAGAGCAAAAGTTCAGAGAGAGCTTAATGTCCAYAGAGCAGAAAGGCTTAGTAATTAATTGTCACAGCACAATTACAATTAGCCATTAATAATGACAATATAAACTAGGAAGCATGAAAACACTCAATAAACTGTGTGGAGATGGAACTGGCAGAACTCACAACAGATGTGAACTCTGGCACCTACAACAGATGCCATGGAGAGGCACGAGAAAACACAGTACCTGAGGCAGGCAAGGGGCACCCTGATGTCCCCTGGAGGAGCACATGTGTAGAAGGAAAGAGTACCCTGCCTCCCTGCACGGGCCCTTTAGGAAACTCTAGTGCCCATTCCTGGGATGGGGGTGGCCTCACCTCCTACTTTCCAACCCTGGGGTGTACATGCTCACCTCCAGGAACACCCTGACGGCTGTGCAAGGAGCACAGCAGCCAAGCGCTGCTGGGAGCACGGCACGCCCACGGACAGGCCTGGGAGTGCGAGCAGCTCCCCAGGGACCCGGGGATGCCAAAGCCCTTCTGTAGGGGTGAGGGAGGGTTCCAGRGCCCCTGATTCTTGGCCTGAGACTTGATGCTGTGGAGTACAGGTCCCCCTTCTAGGGAATTTTGGGGCTCAATTAAAAACCTGTGCTTTTACTCAAGTTAAAAGTATAGATTCCAGCAGGAATGTGGGGTGGTGTAGCCACCTAGGGAGATGGCGCAGCCACCTCGGGAGACCCTGTAACCCACACTGGCCTGAGGTGGGCCCCAGAAGAAAGCAAGCACATGCTCTCTTAAGAACCTATTTGTGGGGCTGGGGCTCAGGGGTAGAGTGCTCACCTAACACGTGCGAGGCGCTGGTCTGATCCTCAGCACCACATAAAATTAAATAAATAAAATAAAGGTTAAAAAAAAAAAAGAACCTATTTGTGCACTTTTAACGCAGCCTTATGACAGCCACTGGTGACCCAGTCTAATTCTACTGAGGCTGCATAGCCACAGAAAGGAGTGACCACTGGCGCCCAACATCATGGAGGCCCCTCATGTGCATCACACAAGGGAGAGGGCGGGGCCTGAAGGTGCCACACGATGCCATCATGTGTCAGTCTGGAAAATGGAGGGACTCCAGCTGCACCTACCTTCTGTGGAAACTGAGGTCTAAGTGACAGCAGTCATGAAGCGCGTCTCGCATGTGCTGGGAGGGCAGGGGCAGCTGGGCCTGCACTCCTGGAGCCTGAGCTGGCCGGGTGTGCAGGCACAGCCCCACTATCTCTTGCTCTCTCCCCATCTTGCTTGTCCCTTTTGGTGGGGGCGGGAACGTGAGGGTGGAGCAAGGGGAGCAAGACTGCCGAGGCCAAAGAGCAGCCCAGAACACAATGAAGCCAGGAGGTTGTATGGCAAGGATRGAATTGTGGATGCTTCAGGAAAAATGCCCCCATGTTTGTTTTACTGTCTTCACTCAAAAAGGAAAAGTCAAGGAGCAAGGTGGCCCCGCAGGGCAGACATGGGAGTCACCACATCTGGCAGGGCGTGCCTCAGGCTGCCCGGGGGAGCTCAGCCCTTCCACCTTGGGGTACATGGTCCAGGACCACCAGGATCCAAGGGAGTAAGCACCCAGGCAGGATACASGGAGGAAGGCGTGGTGCTCACAGAACTGGGGACAGAGTTGAAGGCACCTGGTACTCCTCACCAGTCAGGCCTCAGCAGGACTGGACCCAGCGGAGCTTCAGCTATCACTGGGAGGACCCCATGCTACAGGGCCCGGGAAGGAGGATGGAGGTGGGCCCGCCTGGGTCTCCACGGCATGTGCACAAGCAAATTCCACCATGTCCTCAAGGAACTCTAAGCAAAAGCACAAGAACCAACACTGGTGGAAACACCACCGGAGCAGGACTTGGCAAACCCAGATGTCAGCACCAGGCACTACCCCCCGGAGGGCTCTCAAGTGGCCTTTCTTTCCTTCTATGTCCCAGCCCTGGAAGTGGGTGCTCCAGTGCCCGCTGCACAGCCAAGACAGAGTCCCATGCATCAAGGTGACCCTCCACAATATGCTGCAGTGAAGCCAGAACACSGAGGTCCCACATGGGGAAGGCAGGAAGATACCGCCGCAGTGGCTCTCAGCCGCCTGAGCAAGCTCGCCCTGGGGAGAAGCTCATGTATGGCAAGAAGCTGCCTGAGGCCCCTTCTAGGGGGCCAGAGCACCCTCCAGGAGGCTCAGGGCCAGTGCAGACACTACCCTTCCCTTGTTCAGCAGGCTGGGAACCGGGGCCTGGACAAATCAGAGCAGAACTGACTGCCATGAACCAGGATGGCACGTGACAGTGACATCCACAGGCCACAATGCCGCCCACATGGCACTGTCCACAAGGCACTGACCAGATGCAGAGGTTGGACGTCTGGACTGCAAATCTGTCTCCTGGCCTGCGGTCAGTGTGCGGAAGCCTTCTTGCCATTTTGCCTGTTGAGATGATCATTGCAAATAGCTTCCTCCCAGTCTGGTCGTGAGTCTTAATTTGCACACCACTTGGGTCCTTAAGCACTGGCAGATGGAAAATATCACAATCCACTGCCAGCTTTCCATCTGAAGAGCCACACACACACCCAGGGAATGGGTGACTCACGTGGCCCCTGGAGGCCTGTGGGATGAAAGCTGGCCAATGGAGGCGCCACCAGGGTGCCCAAACACCAAAGCACATCGAAGTCAAGCCCACACTGTGCTGAGGAGCAGGGGTACTCCTGTGGCTAAAATGAACAAGGTAGCTGAGGTGGGAGAGTGTCTGGCAGAAAGAGGCAGGTCCGGCCCAGAAGCTCAGACCTGCAAGGCGCATCAACAGAGCGAGGGGCCTTTCCCTGGGCTGCAGTTCTGGTGATGATGGGCTTTGCTACATACTGAAAGTCAGTTCAAAAAGAAAAAAGACTCTTGTGCACAGCCAGAGTAGATGGCCACACAGGGCCCAGCCAGTCCCTCAGCACTTGGGAGCCCCCAGGCACCTCTCAGAAGCCAAAACAGATATGCTCCAGAGCAAGTCACTCTGATTAGCAAATTATTTCTAAATATAAGTGTTCAAGTATGACACCCAATGCTCCTGTTCAGAGATAATCAGAGATAGAAACTGAAAGATAAGTTTGAAAACACCTATAAGAAAGGGGTACTATAATGGGAACTGTTTTAAAAATGTCACATTTTTAAAAAATCACAAAAGAACCTCTTCTAATAAGAAACACAAAAATTAAAATTTAAAACTAGGAGGATGGTTTTAGTAGCCAATTAGCAACAGATAGAGAGAAATACCATGGCCTGAAAGACAGGCCTGAGGAAAGTCCTTGGTCAAAGTCCAGCGCATTTGGTCTGAGAAGGAAAGGGGAGAAGAAGGAAGAGGAGATATCTGAAGACATGACAAAGTCATTAGGCCACCAATATGAGAAGCCCAGTGAGTCCCTGGCAGGATAAACAGTCGTTCTAGAATTCTGACCCCAGAGGAGCCATCAAATGTTTAGACTGGCAACTCTACAAGGCTGTGGAGGTAGAAGGCACTCAGCCTGGACAGAGCCGAGCTGCAGGAGGAGGGACTACAGAGCAGGGGCAGTGGGGTGGGCGGTCCTGACACTGACCAGGAAACACAGGTACACGGCGGCGGGTTGAGAGGGGACTGGTTACAACTCAGGACACAGCACTGTGGACCTCACACTTTCCCAGAGAGGGCAACACCGAGTACTGTCCGAGTTTGGTTCAAAGATCCTGAAGGCTCCTGTCTAATCGACTGGACATTATACAGCTGCCAGACCCATGAGACAGACAAGTGTGTGTGTACAGAAGGGTATCAGTGACACTAGTGGGAAGCCAGTGACAGATCTATGTATGCAAACATCCTCTGACTTGAGAACAGAACGTGGASGCAGTGAACACCTCCACGCACACAGCAAACTCTTCTGCTAGTTGGCCATAGGCAGGGAAAGAGGCCGTTCACATCCACTCAACCCGAGAGCYGTGTCTGTGATCTGTGCTACAATGTGGGCACCTGCTAGCCCGGGCCCACGGCAGGACATGCTTGGACACACAGGAACGCACCCGCTTAAGTGTGGTCGAGTCCACCCAGACAAGCCAACCGTCCTCAGAGAAAACAAACCTGGCTGGGTCACGCTGGCCCATTACGCTTCCAATTTTATTGTTCTCAATTTCCTGTCAGTGAACAGCAATGCTATCTCCCAGCCTCATCTGCTATTTAGTTAAAATTTAAAAGGAGAGAGGGGACATATGTATGGAAACCAAATAATCTCAGTGACTAAAGATGGGCTCATAGAGGTTATTTAAAGCCAGAACCCCAGGAATTTACAGCTTACTGTAATAAAGCCACTCCTGGTGAAAGGGCAGGGGCTGGCAATCCCCAGGTAGACAGCATCCAAAACATGYCACCCCTTGAGTCCCCGGTGTCTGTGCTGAGTGGTAAGAGGCCCCTAATGGGGGTAGGAATTGGCTAGGATTTCTCTGGATTTCTCAGAATTTCTCAGGGGCCCAAAGCCAGACTCTTAAGTGCCAAGGCCTGTCCTGCCTCTGAGCAACGCACATTCTGGGCCGTTCSCTGGACATGTGGAGCCAGGACCAAAATAAGCAGGAGCACTGGGCCACTCAAAATTGGCACTCCTCAAACTCTACTCCCCAGAAGCTACTGACTGAGCGCCCCTCTGGGGAGACAGCCATTGCTGCCAAGAGTCGGCTCACAGGGGCACGTGCTGAGTCACTCATCCCAGGAGAAGGCGATCGCACTCAAAGAAGCCTTTTAGCCTACAAGTGATGAGGTTCTCTGGGCAGGGGCGAGGGTGGCAGAAGGRGTGCTCAGAAAGATGGGGGCGGGGCCCTCGCTCCCCACCTTCGCACCACAGCACTGGCCCTGGCTCTGTGGGCTCCATGAAGGACGCTTGCTAGAGCCCCCAAGCCTGCACCCACTTACCCCAAACTCCTTCCTTGTGAGCAAGCTGGCCTCCCTGGCGGGCTGGAGGCAGGAGCTCTCTGGGAACACCGTCCCCTCAAGAAAGTGCTCACCCCTCTCAGGCCAGCCCCATGACTGTCCGGCATGTGCTTCTATTACAGGTCCAACAGCTGCCCCCCAAATGGACTCCCATAACATGTCCTGGATTCGGTACCCAAGCCATGTGTCCCCAGCYGTGGAAGATGTCATTGCTGCACAAAGTGTCATCTCCAGGTGCATGCATGTGTATGTTGCTCTGCTTGTACCGCTGAGCTTGGTGATGGGGCTCTTCAACCTGATCACTTTCATTCGGAACCATGGCAAGCTGGTGGCCCTGGACATGCTGCTCTCAGGCCTCACRGTCACAAGTATCCTGGTGACACTGCTGTCACTCAATGCTGCCAGCAGGCCTGACTACATACTCACAACCAACCTGCACTGTGGGGTCCTCTCCTTCTTCTCCAATATGTGCTATTTCAATGCCCAGTACCTGCAGACGGCCATGCTTGTCCTGTTTCTATTGCCGGGTTCCTCGAGCTACCTGCTCACAGGGGCCCAGGGCACCTGGAGGCCTCTGGCGGGCCTGGCTGCCATTTGGGGCTGCGCTGTCTGCAGCTCTCTGGTTGTGGTATCCCTGCTGGGTACATCCAGAGAGCTGCACCAAACCACCCTGTGCCAGGCGGACCCCCTGACGGCCTGGCCTGAGTACGAAATTGTTAAGTTCAGCCTGGGCTTTGGGCTYGCCCTCGTTCTCAAGCTGGTTCTCCTTCTGCTGCTCTCTGCTAAACCGGCCTGGCGGACAGCTTTCACCSGGAGGGACACCGCCTCTGCACGCTGGGTGGTACTGGCCATCACTCTGAATATGTTTGCCTGCCGACTCTTCTCCAGCACAGTGCTCCTCCAACGGGCCAGGCGGAAGATGCAGAGGGACATAGGCTCCCCGCGGGATGAGCTGCTCATGAACCTGGCAGAACTGGTCCTGTCTGGGGAGAGCTGTGTGAACTCCCTGTTTACCCTCGTCTTCCACAAGCCCTGCAAGCTCATGCTGCTGGACGCCCTAGGGCGCCTCACACAGAGGTGCAGAAGAGGAGGCACCAACAACAGCGTCTCCTAGAACAGGACAGGGGCTGGGTCTGATCCTGCCTTCTGGCATGAGCCACAGGGAAAGCAGCAGAGCCTTCTTGGTGTTTAAAATACCCGTTTGCTGAAACAGACCCTCCTGGGAAGAGCCAGTGGGGATGACACAAGTGTTGCGAGAGTGCTTACTAAAAATGAGCATTCTGGCATTCAACTCCATCTAAGCAGAGGCACCATGGTTTCTTGACCCACGCCAACAATCACAACTCAAGGGACCCTGCACATCAAGGACACAGTGACGTGAGCACAGAGACTGGCCACAGACGCATCTCCATCTGGCTGAAGTGCTCTGTGATGGGGACTAAGCAATGTTTGTCTACTGGTTGACATCTTTTTTTTTTTAATCTTTATTTTTATTTTTTATGTGGTGCTGAGGATGGAACCCAGTGCCTCATGCATGCTAGGCAAGCACCTACCACTGAGCCACAACMCCAGCTGGTTGGCATCTTTCTCTACCCCAACCAAAAGACAAAATGGGAATCTTAAAAATAAAAGTGTTTTTCAAATAACTTTACAGTCATATTATGATCTGGTCCGAAYCATTGCTGTGGTCAGCTTTCAACACTGCCAGGAAGTCTGAGCAACAGAAATCTTGCCAAGAACAAAAAAGGTTAGTTTTTAAACTGCCATCACCACGGAAGCTCTGGGAGTATCCCCTCAAGCTGAAACACCAGGACAAGTGCTTTACATCATGATGTTGAGCTGTCCTGCTCCATGGAACCTAAGGGGACTGGCTGCCTAGGTCCAGCGGGTCTGGTAGGCCAGGGGAGAGCCCCAGGGGTTCCACCYGCTGTCTGCACGGGGACTGGTAACCCACGAAATACAGAAACACAAGACAGAGATGTTTGTCTTACTTCAGGTTGACATCCTGCATTCTCACTGGAATTCTCTCTGGTTTTATGAAATCTATACCTTCRATTTTAATGAATAATTTAATGTTAGTCTGTGAACCAAAGAACAAAAGCGGGTCTGTGGTTTTTTCTCAGTGTTTACATATCTGCATGATTTCTTTAGAAGAAAAAGGATTTGTATCTTATGCAGCTGAGTAGCTTCTGGRACACAATATTAAAATTTCTCAATGCTTTAAGTCTTCCCTTCTATTTCTCCTCCTTTGTTTATGCTCCTGATACCCTTAATGTGGCCTGGGTACCAGAGTGAGGTCAGCTTGCAGCCTGTTCCCGGGGGTTACAAGCAAAACTGGAAGCAGGAGGGAAGAGCATTCTTTCCCACCTGGGACGAAGAGGCAAGGAGAAAGGACCAGAGCTCAATGTACTCTTCCCGTAGTCCACTCCCTCCCTCCCCCCAGTACTGGGGATGGAACCCAGGAGCACTCTACCACTGAACCACATCCTCATTTTTTAGTTTGAGACAGGGTCTTACCAAGTTGCTGAGGCTGGCCTCCAACTTGTGATCCACCTGCCTCAGCCTCCCAAGTTACTGGGATTATAGGCATGTGCCACCATGCCTGGCTCTTTGTTTATTTGATGCTGGACACTGAGTTCTCCTTGTTGAATGTTTGAATCTTGTCTTTCTCTAAAGAGTACTGAAGTTTATTTTGGTACACAGTTTATTACTGGCAGATGATCACGATTCTTTTGAGAGTTATTTCCTAGTTTTGTCAATCAGGACCACAGGAGTCTTCAGTGCAAATTTAGCCTGAATGCTAAGGTGTGCCCTCTTTGGGTCTCTACTGCTATGTTTAAGTGTGTCCCTGAGGGTGCATGTGTTGGACTTGGTCCCCAGTGTAGGATACTGGGGGGTGGGACCTTTGAGGGTTGGAAAGTTGTCTCAGCCCCTTACTGGTCTCTCTGGCTTCCTGACTTGCCATGTGATCTCCCTTCCCTTGCACACATTCCCACCATGATGCCATCCACTGTGATGTGACTGGTCGAGGGGAATCACCAGAGGCTTAGTCAATGGTGGGGTCTGACTTTGGAATTTCAGCCTCCAAAACTGAGCTAAATTAATCTCTTTTCTTCATAAAGCACTCAACCTCAGGTGTTTCATTATAGTAATGGAAAATGGACTAGCACATAAATGGCCCTGAACTCTGGCTAGAGAAAATGAGAATATCAATCATCCCTCTGGAGTTCTGGAGTTCACTGGCTTGTTGCAGCTTCAGCTGTTAGACTGGCCTTCAGCGTCTACTCTATGCACACACGACTCAGCCATAGATTCCAGCAGACTGCATTCAGATTTGGGGGACCTTTTCTCCATGAGACACTCTCCTCTTCCAGTACTGTATCCTGCAATTCCTGCCCCATCAGCCTCCAGAAACTTAGTCTCTGTCCCCTCAACTTAGCCAGTTCATCCTGCTCTGCTTGGATCCCCAACCTGTGCCCCTGACCACAGGCTGCCTCAGATAGAAAGCCGGATAAGCATGGAGCCTGGCCTGGCCGGGGTCTAAGCTGCACTGCCTGCTGTCCCATGTCTGAAAAAGGCTGCTTCTATAATTTACCCAGTTGACAGTGGCTCATGCCAGGTTCCTTCACCTTACTCGTGATCAGAGTAGAAACTCTTAAGGTAATGTACAAATAAATGTCCTGCAAGAATAGATGGCAACGGCTTGTTGGTTTAGAACCAGTTGAGATGATTAAAAGCTCCCATGTGCTCAAGTGTCCTGGAGAAACAGCTGATCCCAGGAATAAGGCAGGAGAGACACAGGACAAGCCCGGAGCTCCCAGCAACACCAACTTCCTAAGCATTTCAGCCAAGGGAGTGATTTTAGAAACCCAACTGTACATTGGTGGTTCTCAAACAGTAGAATCCTACTCTTTAAAAAAAAAAAAGAAAAAGAAGAAACCCCTTATAAGGGGGCCAAACTTTGAAACATTTAAAGAGGTTCTGCTTTGATGGAGGGGCAGGGGGGCCAAGGGTAGAAGCAKCAAGGGACCCTGGACCACACCAAGGGCCTATCCACAGGGAACCACAGGACCCAAGGACCTAGGTAGGCCCTAGAGAGACAGGTTGGTCTGCTGGGACTCTGGCCTTCTGCCACAGCACTGGGCCACTTGCCCCTCATCCCATAACTGTCTGGACATATTCTGAGAACAAAGAGCTTTCCATATCCAAGGCCAAGACAAAGACCTAGAGCCAACAGAAAATCAAGAAAGCATCTCAGAGTGTGATTCTAGCAGTGAAGGTACACTCTCATCCAAAGCAAGGCGCATGAAATCTTGATTGCATAGTAGAAAATCATGGGTTTTGGGAGAAGCTGCTGTGGCACCTGGGCTTCTCGGGGCTCTCTGACGAACACAGCTGAGTGGTTGCAGGAGGTGGAGGTGGAATAAGTACCCAGCTCACCACCCACTCTTTCTAGAATCTGCCCCATAAGCATGCTCCCTGCAGGTTGACAGCACTCTCGCAGTAGGACACAGGGGACGTCATCTGTCTGCACTTCTGTGAGCTACATGCAGTCCTGGTTGCCATAACTCTCAAAGAATTAGAGGAAGTGCCCAGAACATTCCCAGTAGCCATGCAGAGGAGCACAGCTGTCCAGAACGCCGGCACTGTGTCGCCGTCTGGACTGGCCCCTACTCCAGGGCTGAGGGCAGATGGCGTGTGCAGGGCTTGAGCCATGACAACTCTGAACACTGTAAATCCCGTCTCAAGCTGGGAAAGGCTGAAAGATAGAGCCACTCTTGACTTTCTCTAGGAAATAGCCTTATGGTAAAAACAGTGTCTGTGCCGCAGCATGCATCCAGGATCTCACAGCCACATACACCAAACTGGGCCAGGACCAGGGCACCAAGACTGTCTAGGGGAAGGCGCACCCCTGAGCCTGTCTCAGTTTCTAGATTCCACAGACCATGCCACAGGACATTGACCTGGGTGATTCTGAAGAAAGGAGGGTAATTTAAGGGTTTTCGATGCCTCTTGCCAACACCGTCTTCCTGGGATGAGGATGAGGCAGGATGTCRTGGGCAGTCTGAATTTCCTGATAGGGAGTAAATGGCACAGGGTGCCAAAAACTGAACTAGGAGAGCCTACATCCTGTCTGCCACTCACTGCATCATGGCCTATGTAAACCCTTGACCCCTGGTCTCTCTCTTGGTAAATGGGGACCACTAGCACTGGTTCACTGCTTCCGAATGTCATGAGTATTAAACTTCAGAAGTACTTGTGACCCCCTGAGGTGGGAAGAGTCATCAGTACCCTGCAAGGGTATTCCTGCTGCCCCTGTTTGGGTCCTTAGAGAAAATGCACGGATATTCTTCATGAGGTATCTACCTAGCAGGAATGGAAACACCCTGGGGTGAATTTCTCTGAGCTCTGTGCTGTTTTCCAGCATGGATTAAAATTCCTCGTTCAAGTGGCTTGATGTCTCAGCAGGAAACAGATTCAAGCAAGCAAACCCACAGACCTTTCTGAATAAGGTGCTATCTCCCCAGTTAGTGCTCAAAAAATAGAAAAACTGAGCCAGGCTCAGTGGCAAAAGCCTGTAATCCCAGCAATTCAGGAGGCTGAAGCAGGAGGATTGCAAATTCAAGGCCAACCTGGTCCATTTAGGGAGATCCTGTCTTAAAATATAATCAAAAGCTCTGAGGACATAATTCAGTGGTAGAAAGCTTGCGAAACATGCAGGGGGCCCTGGGCTGTGTCCCCGCACTGCACAACAGAACAAAAAGAATAGCAAAGCAATCTTGGGAGGATTTCACCTCAGTCAAATGACTCCCCACACCCGGGGTTCTGTTTGTGTGTTTTACAGGACTGGAGACTGAACCTAGGGGCATTCTGCTGCTGAACTACATCCCCAGCCCTTTTTTATTTTATTTAGAGACAGGGTGTAAGTTTCCTAGGCATGTCTTGAATTTGTGATCCCCCCATCTCAGCTTCTCACAGGCATGGCCACTGTGCCTGGGGCACACCTGGGTTCCTAATGAGGTCACTATCTCTGAAAGACAGCGGCTGGGAAGGCTGGGAGGGCTGGGAGATGAATAACTGCTGAGGGTGTTTTGGAGAGGCACCCAGCTCCATAAATAACCCCACACGCCCCCACCTTATGAATGACCCCCGAGGCTTAGGTCACCCAGCAGCCTAGCACCACAAAGGCCCAAGCACTGCCAGAGAGGAGAACCAGGAGTGGGGGGCCGGCAACGCTGAACGTGGGCTTGCTCGGACTGTGCCACTAAGTCTTGCCCAAGGGATATCCATTGTCACAGGAAGGAGCAGGACCCTGGTCACCACGAAGTGTCCAGACTATTCCACACCTGTTCCCTGTCCAGGGTCCTACGAGGGCTTCTGAAGTGAGAAACTATCTTATTTGACTGGCATTTGTTCTCTATGCATTAGCCAGTATTAGCTGCTCCCAAATTTAACTAGATGCCATCTGACCTTATTGGATTCCCTGTTAAGTTCCCTCCATTCACACTATCCCATCCCAGATGAACAGAAACCGAAAAACCCAAAAGAATATCAACTCCACAAGGCAAGAAGGAGGCGGACATGGCACACTGGCCTGTCCTCCCTGCGAGACCACTCACACTGCTTCTCTGAGCTCTATCCACCAGTAAATGGAGGCCAGAGCCAGCCCCAGATACAAAGGAGGGCTCCCTAGACAGCACACGCAGAGCACCATGTGCAGACAGCACCAGGAAGCCTCGTCTAATGTCAGACTTAAAAATGACAGCAGCTCTTCAGACTTTCCAGAAACTTCCACAGCTCCCACCCACCCCTCTCCATGCAAATGTCAAGTAGGAGCCCTGGGACTGAAATGCCTGCCCTCTGGGCCCTGTCCCTGCACTAGTTAGTTGGGTGACTGTGCCAGTAATTTAATGGAGACGCTGGGCTTCAAGCAAGATGGCTATGTCACAATTCAGCTGCCCATTCTCCACCTTAAGCATGAGCTCAGAGCCAGGCCCTTGACCACCTGCAGCAAACCCACCAGGACTTGCAAAGTGGCAGCCTCAGGACTACAAGGAGCCAAAAGCCTCTTACAACTCCAGCAAGTGGCCAAGCCCTGAGCCCTGAGCCATGGGTTTGCAAGAGCAGGGAATGGCTATTTTTAAGTGGCATGCCTCGGCTATTTCGAGGTTTAGGTTTTATTTTATTTATTTAATTCAAGAGGAAGCTGCACTTTCTCATGACTTGTTTCTTTCAAAATGGTGTCATGGGCATTCTTAATGTTGAAATCATCTTGACTTTGCAGCTGGTCAAAAGATGGAGAGCCAATCAGCTCTTTATTTTATCATGCCATTCAAATTTTTAAAAGTTAACATATTAAGAGTCCGAATTTCTACAGTTCTTCACCAGAGGATTARTATTTTTCCATAAAATTTTTAAGACGGTCCTCTGTTTTAAAATATGCATACATTTCCCAAGATACCTGCAAGATTTTAAGTCAGCATCATACGGAACACCTTGAAGTGCATTTTCAACAGGCTCTATAGAGAAGAGAAAGCTCACGGGGCAGCAAGTGGCCGGGCCCACATTCACGGAGGTGCATGGCACTGTCAGGGTCCCACCTGCAAGGGTGCCTGCCTCTCCAAGCCTGTGGCAGCACTGTGGGAGGAGGATGCGCTGGCTCCCACTTATCCTCAACCACAGCCACCTTGTTGATCAGTGCATAAAAGGTCACTCAGTGTTCAAGTTCACAGCTCCAAAAAAAAATCAAAAGATAAAAAGACACCAAGAAGGAAGCATAAATAAGATCACCTAAAATGTTATTTATGAGCCAGGGCAGCTCAGGCCTGTGGTACCCAAGAGCCTTGGACAGTGCCTGGCACTGGTCTCTGCTCTGGAGCTGCATGGCCAATCTTCCTCCAAAACTGAGGACAAACTCCAACAACAGGAGGTGGGAAGTCAGAGATAGCAGCCAGACACACAGCCATTCGGTCACTAGGACTTTGGGAGCGGGAGTGATGGTAGGGAAGACCTGATCAGGCATCCATGCCCCAGACGGCTCCCAAGCACCAGAGGAGAGAAGGGTGGTCAATGATTAGAGCAGAAAGCCACCTGTTTTACCGATTTCTTACCAAATACCTGCTACTTCTTGTGTTTAAATTTCTTTCCACAAATGTCTTGGTGAAGTCATAAATTTTCTATGTATTATTCACATGCTTATTACTATGTTAACTTTTGAAATTCAGTGTTTAGTTTTAAAGCCAGTAAGCTGCTAAAAGAAGAAAGAATACTGTTGCTTGTTTCAACAAATGATCATAATATCTATTATAATCCCTTCAAACTAAAAAAAAGAGAGAGAAAGAAAAAAAGGTGTCACTGGGTGAAGAAAACCAGTCACACTGGAAACTTCCATAAAACCATGCTTAGTGGGGCTGTGCTCATTGTTAAAGTGTGGGGGAAAAAGGCCAGCAAAAAAAGGGTTAATGCTGGCCTTCAAGGGAGCGGCCAGAGCCCAGTGAGCAGCCCTGGGAAGCCTATAAAGCCGGCCCAGTGCCAAGGGGACCAGACTGCGCCTCAGACAGCCACAGGAGCTGGTTCAAGCGCTTCCTGGGGAACCTTCCCGCCAGGCCTCCCTGGAGGGGTCTTCTCTTTTTCTCTCCCACGGATTCCTTGCAAGTCCAGGATCTCACCACTGCAGGCAAGTGTCAAGTGCGCCTCCAGCAAACCCCTGAGGGGTGCAAGAGAACCCAAGCAGCTCAGGTAAGACTTGCACCCCCGCCTGTGGGTTTTGGGATCTGGGTGGTACTGCACACTAGCTGCTAGGGTCAAACGAGGTCACAGTCCTGGGAGGGAAACCCTAGTCCTGTGAGGGGACAGCAGGAGGCATGTCCATACCACTGTACCTTCCAAGGAGTAGCACCAGCTTCCACCCTCCAGAGGAGACACCTGGGCGTGACCACAYGCAGCGAGCCCTGGGTCCAAGCCAGATGTGCCTTGTTTCGAGGCTCTCCTGGTAACTTGGTACTATGGTCACTACTGTCGACTCAGAAAGTCATGGTGGGCCGATGCCCCCATGTAAAGATAAGGGTAACAGAGMTGAAGAAGTGTAGTGTCGTTTTCCCAGATCTGGACAAGCAGGAGAAACTTGAAACAAAACGATACAGAACTATTTAGCACCCACTTTTAGATTTTCAGTTCATAGCCAACTTTAATAAGGATGCTGTAAATTTCATAGCAAGTTCCCGTATCTTCTCTGTAGACCATTATACAATAGCAGTGTTGGTTAAGGATGAAAGACTCCATTTACATGGAAAAGAAACAAAGGGCTTATTTTAACCTGTTCCCTAGAGTTTACTCAGTAGTGTAGGGAAGAGAAGGCACCTGTGTCAAGGGTCTGCTCACCTTTAAACTGCCCTCTCCAACTGCAGTCTGATACCTGCCAGAATTTCCACATTCAAAGAACAGAACTAGTGCCCTGGGCAGTTTTTAAAAAGAAATTAAATCCAGAGGCTTTCAATATTACAGATGGAATCTCAGAACAGTGACATTTACACTGCTCAAATTGGTACTACTTATTAAAGATGAATAAAGAATGTAAAATAACCAATACAAGCAAATCCATCAACCCCTGCTCGGCAACGGTTATTGAACACCCTCAAAATCATATCTGCGCCATGGCAGAGATCTGTTCTTCCTTATTTTCCTTTTTTCTTAGCAGTATTTTCACGAGATAGGTCAGTAAATCTCTAGTCTGGTCTTGCAACACTTCAAAATGATGCCCAATGACCTCAAAGAATGAAACAAAATTCCAAAAGAAAAACAACCCAAACCATCTTCCTGAGGCAGGTCAGTTGACACCAGGCTTCTCGCCCTCAGACACTGACGCTCAGGCCAGAAATCTTTTGCTGGGGAGGGGGCTGTCCTGTGCACTGTTGGATGCTCAGCAGCATCCCTGGCCTCCAACGGCTAGATGCTCCCCCGCCCCAGCTGGGACACCGCCACATTTCCAGGCGTCTCCAGACGTTGCCAATGTGCCAGCTGAAAACCCTGGTTGCTCCAGAGAACTTCAGGGGCACAGGAGTCAAGTAAGCCACAGGAAACCCTGTGGCACCTCCACGTCCCCGTCTTTACCCAGTTTCTATGCTAAAACAGCATTACAAAAATAAACTGGGCTTTACATAATTGGTTAAATAACATTTTACAAATAACTGAATAACATTTTCATCCTTCCTCCTTCCCTCCCTCCCTCCCTGGGGACAGGGTGTCCTGTGTCACAGTCTGGCCTCAAACTCCTGGGCTCAAGCGATTCTCCTTCCTYAGTCTGAGTAGCTGGGACTACACCCAGCTAACATTATTTCTTAAACAATGACCATTTTTATTCCTTATTCTCTTTCATTCTATATTATAGAAAATAGTTTCATTTTTGGCACTCAAGTTAGTAGTAGCATTACCAAAAAAAAAAAAAAAAAAAAGCTGGATTTCTTTTGCCTATTTTATTGCAAGAGAAAAGAACTTTGCTCAGATTCCACTAGGTTTTCTGGGTCCATTACCTTTCAGGGGGAAAAAAGAAAAAGAAAAAAAAAAAAAGCTGGGTTTTTCCCTTCCCATGTTATTTCTCTTTCCAACAGCTGCTGAAATAAATTTTATTTCCTGTCCCAACAAACGGTAGTTTTCCTAAGATTCCCATACTCAACACCCACACTACTTCATGAGCCTGCTATCTGCCTGTGACCCACTCACTGCATCTGGGGATGACTCATGGCCCGTCTCCAATTTAAACCAGGCAAGCATGGGAACCCCTGGGGAAGAGACAGGACGTTTTCCACATTTATTTCTTCTCCTTCAGTTCAGGGACAACCATCTCCCCAAGACAACGAAACCTAGAGTTCTGGCCTCTCTCTACTGCTCTGTGACCTACGACACCTCAGCTCTGTCCTGTCCTGTCTGCCTCTCCTTGGTGTCCAGATGGTAAGTGTGTACGGCGTCTTCCAGCCATGAGCCAGCTCCGCCGACCAGAGTGCCAAGTGCCCCACTAGCCACGAGCCGGCTTCTGCTGCAGACCAACTGCACCTGTGCATTCAACTTTCTACAGCTGTCAAACCCAAATGTCCAGCTCTCTGCAGAGAGAATCACCTCTCTCTCTAAAGATGGAGCCACMGCTGCAAACTGATTTCTGTGACCCTTCTGGCAAATGCTGAAGACAGCACAGTGGCAACATGGATGTGACCTCTCCAGCCCACAGTTTTGGCATGGAGATTTACCCAGGTACCACACAGCTGGCAGACTCCAACAGCACCTCCCCAGAACTCAACCTGTCTCTTCCGCTACAAGGCACTGCCCTGGTGAACCAGACGGGGGACCTCTCTGAGCACCAGCAGTATGTCATTGGCCTCTTTCTCTCCTGTCTTTACACCATCTTCCTGTTTCCCATTGGTTTTGTGGGGAACATTCTGATCCTGGTGGTGAACATCAGTTTCCGTGAGAAGATGACGATCCCCGACCTGTACTTCATCAACCTGGCGGCCGCAGACCTCATCCTGGTGGCCGACTCCCTGATCGAGGTATTCAACCTGGACGAGCAGTACTATGACATTGCCGTGCTCTGCACCTTCATGTCTCTCTTCCTGCAGATCAACATGTACAGCAGTGTCTTCTTCCTCACCTGGATGAGCTTTGACAGGTACATCGCACTGGCAAAAGCCATGCGYTCCAGTCTCTTCCGAACGAAGCACCATGCCAGGCTGAGCTGCGGTCTCATCTGGATGGCCTCCGTCTCGGCCACCCTGGTGCCCTTCACGGCCGTCCACCTGCAGCACACGGAGGAGGTCTGCTTCTGCTTTGCGGACGTCAGGGAGGTGCAGTGGCTGGAGGTCACCCTGGGGTTCATCATTCCCTTCGCCATCATCGGGCTCTGCTATTCCCTCATCGTCCGTGTCCTTATCAAAGCCCACAAGCACCGAGGCCTGCGCCCCCGGAGGCAGAAAGCGCTCCGCATGATCTTCGCCGTGGTCCTGGTCTTCTTCATCTGCTGGCTGCCGGAAAACGTCTTCATCAGCGTCCACCTCCTACAGCGCACCCAGCCGGGGGCTGCTCCCTGCAAACAGTCCTTCCGCCATGCCTACCCCCTGACCGGCCACATCGTCAACCTCGCAGCTTTCTCCAACAGCTGTCTGAACCCCCTCATCTACAGTTTCCTTGGGGAGACCTTCAGGGACAAACTGAGGCTGTACGTGGAGCAGAAGACAAACCTGCCAGCTCTGAACCGCTTCTGCCAYGCCGCCTTGAAGGCAGTCATTCCGGACAGCACCGAGCAGTCGGATGTCAAGTTCAGCAGTGCTGTGTGACAGGCCTCCCCGGCAGGGACCCAGCTGTGGCACTAGTCACAAGGACTGTACACACCCAGGGCAAGGTGGGCCGGAGGCACAGGTCAAGTCACGCTCCCAAACTTCAATGCCTCACAAGGGTCACCCCATCTGGGTTGCTGGGGAACCTCGCTCCAGCCCTTCCTGATTTCATCCTGCTCACAGACTTGCACCCATCCCAGTGCTCACGACCATAGGTCATGTGACTCTGACCTCCAAGAACACCAGAACCAGCTTATCACTCAGCTCTTTCTACCGTACTATTTCCCCAGTGGAAAGTGATTCTGCCATTGACCAAAAGCCAAAAGGAGGGAGGCCTTCTGGGTGAAGCATCTTAGTTACAGATAAATCCGCAGCACACCTGAAACCCAGGGGGAAAAGGAAGTCTGGAGACAGAATCTGCTCAACAGACCTAAACTGGATCTGATGTCTGAGATGTGCAACTCACTATGCACATGCAAACTAGTCCACCCTGAGTCAAAGGGGAAAAGAAAAAAGTGTCCTGCACACACCTGAGCATCCTTCGTCTCTAGGAATGCTGCCCGCCCCCGGCTCCCGCTCCTAACACCCGAGAGACCTGCATGGAGCTAGAAAGGGTCTCATTTAATGAAATACCTGCTCGGAGATGTGTTTAGACGTGCATTTGTTTACAACAGACTTGGCAATTATGTGAATGTGGGATGAGACCACGAGAACTTCGTGCAGTTAATGGGATACACGGAGAAATACTCTGGCGTGTGTGGCTGAAAAATCTGTCTCTACAAAATAATAGTGGGAACAATGATGATGGCAACTTTAGCAGTTCCCAATAAAATATATTTTAAAACAAATCTAACTATTGCTGATAATGTTCAGTGTATGTCAATAAAATGTTATGTGTTGATTCTCTGAAATGCTCTAAGCAGTTCCCTAAGTAGTGTGAGACAGGGCTGGGGGAGGGGGCTCTCAGAAAGAGCCACAGCCCCACGGTTTTGCAAACTCAGGTCCCACCTGAAGAACTCTCCCGCAAGGCCAACGTCCAGACCCTGCCAGCTGGACACCTCCTGGCCTTCGCGGGATATCCAGATGCTGCAGTCTGACATGCACGCTGCATCGTCTCCAGGCACCAAGTGCATCTTATTACCAACAYAGAAGGCAGAGCTCAGCCTTGTCCAGGCATCTGCATAAGCAGACTTGTCCAATGTCGAGAAGGCTCTCGGCTGTGAGATGCACCCCGGGGTTGGCAGGCACTCMGAGCACTCGCGGGGCCAACTGGGAGGACTCCCTGTCCTGTTCTGTCACCAGATAAAGCTGTGCCAGGTTCTCCTCCATTCTCTGCCCACATCCAGAGGCCCCTCAGGAGCTCAAGCCTCCCAAAGAACACAAGGTAATATGGTTAACAAAGAAAAAGACCACTTTGTCTCAATAATTTGCATGTTAGTACCATTTAAACTATGGTACTACTTTTTATTTCTGATAACATATATTTAAGGTAAAAGGTGACCCAGTTTAAAAAAAAAAAAAATCACACAGAGCACCCAAGAGAACTCCCCTTGGCACCCTGTGGGACACAATCTGTRCATGGATGGGTGCGGCAGGCCTGGCTCCAACAGGCTGCAGGGCTTGGATTCTCTGTGCTCGTCACCAGGGAGCAACACTCCTCCAAAGAGGAGACTATTTGTCCCAGACTGAGACCAAGCAGTGGCATCTCCAGCACTCCAAATCCCACATGAGCAGGACACAGCAGACCTCTTCCAGGACTGTCCCCACAAATCAAGGGGTCTAGCAATAGGCAGACAACCTCTACAGGAGGCCAAGCMGTCCCTCGAGCTGGCACCTGCAGAGGGTGCAAACACCACAAGTGAGGTCCCTGTGCTGGAGGAACAAGGTCCCRAGACGCTTTTCATACCCTATGCTTTGGGCCCACACGGTGCTCCTCCAGGGCACATAGGGCACCGCTGACAGTGGTGCCCAAGAACCAGCACTGCAAACTCTGACAGGATGTTGCTTTTATAAGACGAGTGTGTGATCCGAGTTCCCCGGCTCCACTCAGTGATGGTAACAATCCAAACCCAATCCAGACTGCAAGAAGGAGACAGCGCTGGTGCCTACCACTGAGCAAGGCACCACAGCCATTCACCCCTTATCCCAGCTTGAAAATTGGTGCACAGAAGCCCCAAACACAGTCACAGAGACCCAACACTCACTCTTAGCTCTGATGGGTGGGGTGGGAAGACTCAAGGAATAAGAGTGAGAATCTATGACCCTCAAATCCTTAGATATGAAATGGTGCAGCCAGGAACCGAACCTCGGTCTCTCCAAAGCCATGATCCTTTCTCTGCAGCAAGCAGCAACCCTGATGCTAAAAGCAAAAGTACTCAGTGYGGCAAGTGCAGAGCCGGAGAGCTCTGGGCACCCTGGCGTCACCTAAGGCTGAGCCCTCTCCTTTGCAGCTTCATCTCCAGCAAGTTCAGGGAAGGCAGGAGGGAGACCTCCCGGGGGGACTCTAAATGCAGCTGCTTCTGCCCAAGGCCCCGAAATATCCACGGTGGGAGGGGAGCCATCCTTCCAAGGCACCGGTCCCTGGGGCCAGAACTCTAGAGCACTTCTCTGGGCTGCAGCAGAAGCCACCTGCAGACTGGCCATGCAGAACAGGTCCACCCCTTCCTGCACGYAGCTGTCCCCACTCACTCCTACGCAGCCTTCTGCCTGAGGCTCCTGATGATCAGGTTTCCTCAAGCAGGTCTGCCATGGGCAAGGGCCACATGAGGCTATAGCGCAGCTCCTGYGCCAACACTCGAAGCACACTTTCCCAGCTGAGAAACTGGCAGAACTGCTGAGAGTCAGTGGGATGGATAGCTACAAGGGTGAGCACAAGGCAGAGGACTTCCCTAATGAAATGGGACCCTCCAGAGCCAGAGGCTGGGCCTGGTGCCCCTGAAGTCTCCTCTGCGTCTGTGTGATGGGCAGAGCAGAGGTCAGAAGCCCCGCAGGGTTCTGCACACCCCGCCCAGCCCTTCTCAAGTCATCTGTCTGAGAGCTGAGGCTAACTTGATTATTTGGGGCAGGAACACCACAAGATAAAATCAAGGCGTTTTAATTGCTTTGTTGCTTCCTGGTAACCCAACTCTCCCGCACAATAATGTAGTTTAAACCCTGCGACGACGGGCTGGAGAGTCCACAGCTGTAAGCACGTGGAAAACACCTGATGAGCACTGACCAGGAGTCCATCACTTTCTTTGTGTGCAACAATTAACTCTTGACCATGACCTTGTCCTTCCSGGCTCCCAGGCCTGGTGAGGAATGGTGGCATGCCATCTATTACACCTCCCTGGCACACACACCTTCAGTCCTGGAGGAAGGGTGGGGAGGAGGGCTGAGGGAGMCTCTCAACAGGCTCTTCTCCGCAGCGTGGCACACAGCGTGGAACTGCTTTGTGAGTGAGCACAAGGGGAAATGTGCTGATGCTCCTGAAGACAGAGTTCTCGCAGGACAAGGGAGGCAGAAGCACACAGGAAGCAGAGGGGGACTCAAGAACCCCATGGGAATGCAGCAAAGCAGGTGGATCTCCATTTGTGAGACTCTCCAGGTGCGAGAATGTCAAAATCATAACCAGAGGACATAGGAGATGGCCCAAAGGATTCCCACTGGCCAAATCCGGGAAAATCTGAGCTAGGAGGATTAAGAAGACTTAATAAAAGTTGAGCACAGTGGTGCATGCCTGTAATCCCAGCAACTTGGGAGGCTAAGACAGAAAGGTTGTGAGTTCAAAGCCAGCCTCAGCAACTTAGCAAGGCCCTAAGAAACTCAGCAAGTCCTTGTCTCTAAAAAAAATATAAAAAAGGGTTGTGGCTGTGGCTCAGTGGTGAAGCATCCCTAGGTTCAATCTCCAGTACCCCCCCAAAAAGTTAATAATAATTAGAAACTACTAAAAAGAATCCTGAGCCCATTCTAATAATAAACAAGCAAACAAACATAATTTAAATAAGCAACATATAAAAAGATAATAATAAATAGAGTTTGTGAAAAATGTGGGAATTTTTGGTTATGGGAAAAAAATGGCCTATAACTGAGGAGGGACTGCTGGGGGGCAGGGGCAGAAGAGGGGCGGGGGGACGGACTCCTCCCTTTGCAGCTTTTACTGTGAGACTGGAACAGGCCAAGAACCCCCAAAGGAGGCACTCCAGGAGCAGTGGGGTATTTGCAGAGCTCCCACAGACTGCTCGTTAAAGCAAGGGAAAGTCACTACACAGCAGAGATGGGACAGCCCTTCACTGAGTGGTAACATGAACATCACCAAGAGGAAAAAGCCCAGCTGTGACACCCTGAGAAGGACAAAATGTCTCTAATGTCCTAATCTAAGGGTACATACTGAGTCTAATCAGGAGCAAATACTAGAAAAACCCAAAATGATGAAAAGAAGCCAATTCACAAAAAATGAAAATGTCATAAGAGATAAGCTTGGAGGGGCTGGGACTGTGGCTCTGCGGTAGAACGCTCACCTGGCATGCGTGGGGCCCTGGGTTCGATCCTCAGCTCCACATAAAAATAAAATGAATGGAATAAAGGTATGGTGTCCAACTGCAAAAATAAATATTAAAAAAAGATTAAAAAAAGAGATAAGCGTGAACAATTCTTCTAAAGTCAGGAGAAGAGAGAGGGGACAATTATATGCGATGAAGACTCTAGATGAGATGATCCACCACAAGGAGGGGAAAGCATTCTGGGGATATCACGGGGTCAGGGGACAAAACAATGCAGGCAAACCTAGAAAACCTACTGCGAAAGAAGCGAGACACAGAAGCCCACATTTGTGTAATTCCTCTTATACGAAGTATCCAGAGTGGGCAAATCCAGAGGCAGGAAGGGGCTGCCAGGGCCACAGAGGGGAAAGGAGATTGCAAGGGAGCCCAGAGCTGCCCCTGAGGACAGAGAAGGTGCTCCAACACGGCTGTGGAGGTGGATGTCCATCTTAGCTGTGACCCTTTAGAGGGTGAGTTCATGGCGTGAAGGTACGTCCCAAAAGTCAATGTTCCCTAATTGCTTCTCATTCTCATTCTCATTCATACCCCACACAGGGAGATGCCCAGCATCCCTCTGGAGTCCCAGGAGCTGCCTGCTAGCATTTACTGTAAAACTCCTAGTTTTCTCTCCTCACTTAYTGCTAGTGATTCAAGCTTTATGTTCTTTTCCACAGTGGCAAGCTAATTATCTGGGGTCTATTTTGATAATTAAAAATAGAGAAAAAGAACTTTGGTAAAATTTAAAGCTGAATGTAGTTAATCATTCTCCAGAATCTCAGACAATRGCTATGCCCAGTTCTCCTTCCTGCTGGGCACTGTCCTAGGGGACCTRCACAGACTGGCCCCGCTGCCCCCGTAGGTGCACACTTCAGGAGTGACCAAGGACAGAAAGGAGTCAACAATATCATTTCAATTACTTAGACACTTTCACCAGTGATGTGCTCAGAAATCTAAAAACAAGGCTTATCACTGAACCATCCCACAGCACTGCCACCCTGTAGATCACAGTTGTGACCAGCATCCCTGGGAACAGTAGAGACCCAAGGCGAACAGACACATGGACACACACAAGTGCTTGTTCCCTGGTCAGATCACAGAAGAAGCTGGGACCTTGGGGGTTTCCGGCTCCATCTTCCTGCAAATGATCAACAGAGGCTTGGGGAAGTTCCGCCTGTTACAGATTTAATGCGCTTTGCCTTCCGGACTATTGGGAGGGTGGGGAGCCAGCGAGTCCGCCTTGCACGGGAACTAAGGGAGGGGAGAGAGAGGGAGGGAGAGGGTCA